GTAATTGTTAGATGATTTACATTCATAGCGTACTATTTATTATATTCCTAGGTTCTATATCAATATAAGTTGTAAGGATTTTACTGTCGAATAATATCATGTCAAAACTGGTCTCTTTTTTCCAACTGAAATTTACTAAAAATCTTTATTTCTTTCGTCATCTTTTTCACAGAATGGAAATATTTAGTTTTAATACTAAACATTTTTTTCCAATCTGTAAAAATTTGTCTTTTTTTATTTAAAACAAACTTTTAAGTATTTTTTCAGAAGAAAAAAAAAGAGACAAAAAAGAAAGTTGATCACGCGAAGGGAACATATTCACTCTCAGTTGAAAATTAAATTTGACACAAGTACATGGTTATAAAGTGTAGAGCTAATAATAATAATAATAATAATAATAATAATAATAATAATAATAATAATAATAATAATAATAATAATATTGATTAAAAGATTCTTATTCAAGATAAACTAAAAAACTTAAGAGAATCATATTTATTCTGTTTCGGTTTTAAAAAAAAGGATTACAAACAAAAACTTGTTTATTCATCCCTATCAATATGCGCATAACCAAATAACGAGATTGGTTGACTATTCGTTGTACAATCACTGATTTTATCATTGACAATATTTATAGGTTAAATAAATGTTCTAGTGAAATAAAATTGTATTTCCTACTTCTACAGACTTTATAAGTATAAAAATGTATTTGCATATGTTTACATACATACAAAATGCACACACACACATATATATATATATATGTTCCATTTTGTTTAATGTTATATGTGTGATTTACCCCTGTAAGATAAACAATAAAATGACAAATTTTGACTAATGCCTTTGTTGCGTGTTAAAAGCTATCAAATTCTAAGTTGAAAAGAGCAGAAAACGAATACAAGTATACACACATACATATTTACATTTTTCATTAGAAATAAACTTAATCTCATTGCATGAGATAAATTTTTGGGATAAAATTCATTTCTCTGATTTTTATTCTTAATACTTATAACTGTCAACTTCTACCTTCTTTTCTTTTTTTGAAACGAAAAGTTTTACAAAAGGAATTGATGTACAAATAATCAAAATCAGAGTATAATTAATTTACGACTAAGTTAAAACAACAAGATAATCTACTAGGAATGTTATGTTGTTGATATGATGAAATTTGAAGACAGATTTTAATAAGGAACGATATCAACTCGAGAACTGTTAAAATATTAGTAAAAATGGATAGATGTTTTGGTTCTGATTTGGGATCAATGTTTAGTGTAACGCGGAGAGCGAATCATCTGTAGATAACTGATTTCATATTTAGTGACTTGTTTTTAACTTGTGACACTGTGAGAAGGTCATGATATGAGTTGGTAATTATTTCAGTGTTCACATTCTTGAACTCCACTAACCAAAAACTTGTTATTATGACTTAGGAAATCTTGTTGCACGTAAATGATTAGAGGGGACACAATTACTGTGTGGTATGGGGTTTGCGAAAATAAGTTAATTCTGAGGATATTTTTCATTAGCGATACGACAAAAAGAGTATTATTTGGGTAATTTACATAACTCTTATAAGTTTTAAGCTTCGTATGAACTAAATGTTTTTTTTCACTGATCTATGTGAGACATGTACAAAGTTTCTGATGAACAAAATCCAACCGAATAATGTGCTAATTACAGTAGATTACCTAGTTCAATTAAAGAACCATATCAATGAACTGTGATACCAGTTTTATTAAAAAAAATAAACCTATTTAAATGATAAATAAATGGTGATAGTTACTGCGTTATTTTTTAGACATGGTACGTGCAGTACCGAAACAGTTTCTAAATCTTCCAACCAGAATAAGAACATTAGAATAATCTGGCTATTTGAACAATAATAAAACATTTATGATTCATTTTATTCTATACATATATTCTAATATTTGACTGTTTTATTGTAATAGTGAAATTCGAAATGCAAGATAAACTCTCTAGTTTTCATCTTGAAATTATGAATGAAATATTCAATTTCAAGCATTTCACTTTGCGTAAAGAAAGAACAGAGATCATAGCAGAATTATCTTCAATTGCTTAAAACCTAAAGAACAACTATCTAAATTTGTTCAATTTACTTGACTTATTTTTCAGGTCAATAAACGATGTAAATTTGCCAGTAGTTCATATGTATTTAAAGCAATCAAAACGACTTAAATTCCTGTTATTAGTTGAGAAATAAGATGTCAGAAGTTAGGTTTTTATCACAATTTCGATGAGCACTTTGCATAATTCACGTAACTTAATACTGTTTAGTGCTATCATCATCTTAGTAAGTGTTAGTGGCGTAGTAATGCTTCCACAATATAAGGACCAGTTAAAATAAAACTGGATATAGTGATACACAGAACAAAATATATACATTCTTTGTTAGTAGGTGTCCTAATCTTGAAACACACGACGCTTTATTATTGGACATGACTGTTATCCACACACCTTTAATGTCAACTACCACAGACAATAGTTAACATTCACCGCTTATACATTAAATGAATCCGGCTTTCACAAATATCTGTCTAAGATTGATAGATCATTCAGTCTTCCTGGATATTGGGTTACTTTTAGTGAAGAAATCCAGATTAATTAATTCAATTGTATTAGGTAGTGTTTGCCAGTCAATATGAATGAGCAGCACATAGTAGAGAAATGCACACAACTTACACTCTTAAAGTATTATATCAAAATACCATCCGCGTGACATTTTTCGAAATCCTCTCGTAAGTTATCGTCTATTGTCACAAGTTTCGGAGTCTATATAGACCTTTTGCATATGGTTTCTTACATTATATAATTATGATATCTGTAACTAAGATTGTAAATTTCAATGGTTTTTCGACTGCTATCAATTCTTAAAATAAATCAACTTGAATTAAACACTAGCAACCTCAGAACGAAATAGCTATTGTCCTTAAACTCAAATGTACTACAAGCATAAAATTGAGGCACACAACACTTTATTTTCATAATGATAGTTTATTTATCAAGTATTTTGCCTGTAGTCATCAGTTAAGAAATAATGAATTCAATAATCACCGAAATGTCACCAAATTGCAGCTAATTAGGAACGGGAATCCTCAAGGCCAAAGAACACACTACGCCAAGGAATGGAGACAGAAATGAGAAAAATTGGACAGAACTGAAAAGAAAGGTTCAGGACAGAGTGGGTTGGACAACGCTGGTCGGAGGCCTATGCTCCATTGGGAGTAACAGGCCTAAGTAAGAAACGGGATTCAGATAGCTGAAGGAAGCCAAGTAAGACCTCACATCATCTCAGTTCATTTTGTATATCGCAATTCACTGACAGAATACACCAGACCTCGAATATATTGCCAGTCGTCAAGCGTTCGTAATAATTAAAAAATTGATGATAGCTCGGATATCAAGTTACATGCCATTTAATGAAACAGCTAGAAGGGTTACTGTTATGAGTTTTAGACTATAACCAATTATCCGTACTTAGCGAATTGCTATTTGGATATCAATTTATCTGGGTTTCAAAATGATATTTTATGTGCAAATCAGCAACCCACAATATTTTGGCATCCAAGGTTTTGAAGCAAAAATTTTGCGGGGCTCGGAAATACGATAAGACAGCCTACATCAAAGTACGTAAAGCAGAACCTCGAACCGTATCCAAACAGTTGACAGTTCAGTATTCACAAAATCCGTAGATTTGCCGCGAAGCAAACCATACAAATACATAAGGCTAAATAAGACTGAAAACATGACTAATCGATTATATTACATGAAGTTCATCGCATAAAACTAGATTTTAAAGTAATTAGTCTTATATCTATAAAAAATGGACTTTCTAAAATCTGAATTCATCTTTCGGATTTTATGCTCAGAAAGGAGGACTAGGATGATTTCAAGTAATTCGGTGAACGGATATATAATTTTTCAAGTTCAGAAATTTTAACCATATACTAGTTATCTATCACTTATAACCTAGTTAAATTACTTTTTATCATATGTAACTTTTGTCTATCTGCAAATAAATTTTTATAAAAATATATTTAGGCAGGTGTACGATTACTACAAAATGGCAAAGTCGTGTTACTTTCATGGTGTGAAAGTACGTTTTGGGCAACTGTAACTAATCAAGCTATTATTCAATTAAACAAAAATGATCAAATATGGTTGGAATGTAGAGATGAAGCTTATCGTTTACATGGACATATGTATAGCAGCCTATCTGGTTATCTTCTTTATCCACACGACATATAATCGTGACAACATGAGAATCTTTTTTTTCTTCTGTGTAACTTCTGTTTAGTTAAATGTTAATCATTCAAATAATTAATCAGTGGTATGATCAACAATCTTTTATCACATACTTATGTAACGAATTTTTGTTACCACATAATAACTACACTTTTATTGAACTCACTTTTGTGATGAATAAAATGAGTATATTAATCGACAAAAAAGCTAATGAAGTATTAAACATTATACAGAATAATTAAGTGATAATACTACAAAGATGTGAGCCTTATGAATACACTGAAGAGAAACGAGTCTGGTATTTACATATTTTGCATCAATCAAATATAAAATCACTTAAGTGGTTGTATAACATCTTCACTCAAATAACCGTGGGATCTATAGTTTCATTCAAAAACGCTTGTAACTGTTCGAGTAGAAAGCAGAGTACTCAAAAGATTTGAAGTTCATATACCTATTTTTCAGGGGTAGATAAAATCCACAGAAAAACTATACTATACTGAGAAGTCAATCAGCATAAAGTTAGAGACTTCAGGCATTTTGAACAAAATTTAAAAGTAGTGCCAATTTGTATCCAACTCATGAAGAATTTTGTAAAAAGTACCTTCCTTTATTGCACACAATTTAGAATTGATGCCATCAACAGTGAAAACAGCATAATGGGAAGAGGAACTACAAAAAGTGCTTAACCCTGATGCAGATATTATATGAAGAATAATTTTAATAATAATTGGTCCGTTCCTCTTTTTCTGAATTAAATCCAGTCACTACTGATGTACTGAATGACAAACACTCTTGAATCATATAAACTGATTGATGAAATAATTAAGAATTTTGTTTATCGAGTAGTAATCTCATAACACCATTTCAACGATCTTTCAATGATTCTGTACATAAATATTGTGATAGTGAGAAAGCACATGTACATGAATCGAAAGTCATGGACACAAACTGGTCTTTATCAAATGAATGAGTTTTATGGCGATAGAATTTCGATTTTGACAGTTGTTTACTCATAAGTATAAAGTCTTTATGCTATTTTCCGAGTTGACCGAAGTCGTCAGTATCGTATACTTTCATCATTTACACAAAAATTTTAAGTTGATTTATTTAAGATCCTTCAAATTAGTAAAACAACCTCCTTTAATGAAGGTAATAATGATCAAAATGTGAAATAAAGTAAATGATAGATATTTATTAAACTGTCTCTTATTTTAAGTAAACATTAAAAGTATTCTTAGATTCGTCAGTATGAGGTTAAATTATTTCAGGTATGATAAAATCACTAATCTATGATTGCCTACATTATAAAATCATTGACAGTAATTATTATTGTTGCAAGGGTAACAAACTTCAGAATGGGATGAATGTAAAAACTGAAGACGTTTAATGCCTGTTATCTACCATTAAAAAGTGTAAACAATTCAGTAAATTGAACTGTGTTAATAAACTTCAGTAAACCATTGAATAAAATAATAGAATCTAAAACAAAATACACATAAACAATAAATAATTAAATTATATTGATAGACAAATAGCTGGTAACATTGAACACATGCATATGATGGAAAGCGAAGACACAGTTGCACGACTAAACTCACAGAAACAATCTTTTACAATCCTTAACACTTTTACATTAGACATGTAACGACAATTCGTCGTTGAAAAATCTTTTTCTGAATAAGCGAATATTTAAATACTTTAAAAAAAAGAATGTGACTTATACAATAGATAGAAACTGTTTAGCATTTTTTTATACACAAATTAGGAAGCAAATGATGTTATTCAGACAATATTTAATTTTTTCATATCTGATGGTGATGATAAATACAACAAAGGAAAAAACATCACGGTTTACAATTCCTACAGGATAACACGACGTGTCAACCACCACATTAATAATGGTTGAATGAATGCAATCAGAAGTAGTAAATATAATCGGCGTTTATTACACTCAGATGGATATGCTTCAACATGTGGAAGAATTTTGAGTTTGAGGCTTCTTATCTGAAAATAATTAAAATGAAAGAAAAAACGGTAAATTTACAAACTGTAACAGACAGTGATATAGGATGAAGAGGATAAAATGAGTGCCTGGAAAAAATATATTCGTAGCTTAGTATTTGGTGTTTTCTAACTTGAATATTTAATTATGAACCACTTTATTCTTATGCTTAATGGATCATTTACTTACGCCTGTTAGGGTTCATGGAGCACTGACTGCCGAACAAAATTCCATAACTAACTTTGTCCTGGGCTCTGCTTCCCAATTTTCGTCAATCGCTATTCATTCCCTTCATGTTTACCTCAGATTCTCGGCGCAATGTGTTCTTTGATCTGCCTCTTTTCCTTTTACCTTGAAAATAACGAGTTATCACTTGCCTCGTGATCCAGTTTGATGAGTTCCTCGGTGTATGTCCTATCCACCTCCAACGTCTATTCTTAACTTACTCTTCAACTAAAGGTCGATTTGTTCTTTCTCACAGTAGATTGTTGCTAATGATGTTCGACCGACGAATATGGAGTATCTTGGAAACACAATTGTTCATAGATGGCTGTACTCTTTTGATGGTGGTTGTAGTAATTCTCTCTCTGTACAATAGAACTTTCTCGACGTATACATTAAAAAATCATAAATTCAGTGTTGAATGACAGTTCTTTTTAGTCCCAGAATAAATAAATTCATACATGCTTAAGTTGTATAAGTGTTTGGAGGTTGATAATTGACCTCTCAGTTAGTCAATCAAACGCAGAGCAGAACTGACACAAGTGCATTGGTTCAAGTTGTCGTACTGCATTAGTACAATTTGACAGAATTGTCAAGACGAATACTAAAGTATTAAAAGTAGTGACAGTATTAGTGCTAACAGAAAAGGTTAGGGATAAGAGATACGATTCTAGAAAATATGGAATTATAGGATGATAAAAAAAGTTTGAGATGGTTTAGAAATTTAAAATTTAAGGAAAGACGAAGAGTGAATGCATCTCAGCCATGTTATCTCAAGTTTTTAACGATTACTTTCGATAACTCCGCGGACCCTCACTATTCATTTCAACAATCAATCGCTTCACTTACTAACTTTGGTTTGGCCATCTCCAGATTTCTTTTACATTACTTTGACTACAGACAAATTTTTACGTCAAGGTAGGTGGTTCAGCGTACATAATACATATTCCAATCATTTCAGTTGGGGAAGATTCGCTATTTCAACAACCGATTTCCCATCCTTAACTGGTACCCTAAGCCTAAAATAAGCGTTGCTCACTCGGTAGCCCAAGCATACACGAACAATGTTTCAGAGGTACTTAAAACTAAATACCAGTAACCAACGTATATTCTCTATTTTGAAGACCATTTTTCACAGCCACAAATTAAAACAAAGGGAACTATTGACCGGTATACATATCCTCTACTTGGAAGATGAATATCTCGCCTGCGCTAAAAGCGGCCCAAGTTGAGAAAATATAACAAAAATTTCTGAATCCACGACGAAATTTCATCGGGCACCAACCCAAAATAAGTTGAGTGATCTACACGCGCAACCCCTTTACTTCTAATCGTTTGATGCAGACTAGTCTTAAAACAACATCTTGTATTTAGCACGGGAGAGAAATGCATCCGAAAAGTGCTTGAATTTTTGCTCAAGTTCGTCGGAAGACTATGTATTTTATATTTGACTTTTGAGCACTAAACGTTTTTAAATTGATTAAACAGATAAAATGACGTATTCACTTAAAAATTCAAAAACCGTAGTTTGGGCTTTGCTGGTTTCTTTTAAATGAGTTGATGTCGTGCAGCAAATGGAAACGATGCACATACATACCTTATCATGTGGCATGTGTAAAAGGTTTGCCTAGCATTCATTCATATGGATTTACAAGTTGTGACATGACTAGATACTGTTATATAAAATCTCAAGAACAACGCATCGTGACGGTTAGGAAGAGTAAGTTCTAATATTAAAAAAAAAATCAATTTTCCTTTTTAAATTGTTTAAAATCACAGAAATATAATTTTTGCTAGTTTCAATCATGTTTAATTTTATTCAAATCATTATTAATAGAAAGTGCAAGTTAATGTTGGTACATTAATAAGAGTAGCACATTATAATAAGACTCTATCCGCTGGAGATCAATAGAAGAGATTATTACAACAAAAACTTTAACACAAAAATCTAAAAGTGAACTCACGAGGAAAAATGCCAATGCTAAACTAGTATACAGTAAACTAAAATAATAGCCTGGTCGATCCAAACCAATGTAACTAATCAATACAACTATCATGCTATAAAAAAAATAGAACAGTTGTAAACAACGAGTGAGGACACTGTAAAATGATCGGTAACATTACTTCATACCACGAATTCATATGAAACAGATATTATTAGACAGATTTAGGTAATTTAAACAAACGACAGTGATTTTGATTGTTTGAAGACAAACTTAATGACGAGGACTTTGAAAACAATTGGTCTCACGTTCATCCCGAGAACAGAAAAGCTAGCAAGATTTCGATGAGAAACCGAGGAAACTTACTGGTAATTTCCACAAGACAAACAAATGTTGAGTTATCATATACCTACTGCAAAACACTGATAATTCATAATGAAATACTTGTTTTCCAAACTACTTCGTTTGATTATATAAATATATTAATATACACATTTTGTCGACATCTTAAAGTATGAGTTTTGCCAATAAGTCAGTCCTCTTGAATGAAAGAATACTAAGGGTTCAAAATCCACAACCAACTTGAGATTACTAAAACAGTGATTTAACTATCAAAGCAATAGATACGCGTGTATATTATATCCGAAATGAGAATAGTAAGCACCATTACGTTTAACTGCAATCATCTTTACAATTATGTTCACTTTTAGTACTAAAATATTAATATTAGTAGTGGACCTCGGGTGTCTTTTTCAATAACTTCGATAATCTTAACTTTGAAATGTCGAAATAAATTTTATGTATACCGATTTAACAATACAAGTTTAGCCGTGTTTTTTAAAATTATAAGTCAACAGAAAAGACGAGTGTTAGTTTTGTCATAAAATGAATAGCTGTAAATGAATATCACCTAGTGAAATTCCTATAATCTCTGAGTAGTATGATGAACAATAAATGCAACATTTTCTAAAATAATACTTACTAACCAAGCAAAATTTCATGTAATGGGGATTTCATAAGTGTATGAAGATTGTTATTAAACATTCAAACAACCACATAGACTATCTAAATGTTGCTGTTTCGCCGATAGGGGTTTAAATGAGCTACACGTGATTTCGGTTGCTGGCTAATGTGTCTGTATTTTTCAGGGCGTTGAGACCATGGGATATCTTAGTGTACTATTAAAACAAACAACTTGTTAAAAGTTCATTATTAAATTCTATGATTATTAACAGAGAAATATAAACACGATTAGTTATAAATAAATTGAAGTACTAACCTGACAAATTTATAACCACAATAGGCAACTATATCTAAATAAGAAATATTGTTCTGAATATTGAGGATATAGATTGCAAAAAGAGATAATAAAACTTCAAGCAATAACCAGCCAAAAGCTTCACTAGATAAAATCCCAAGGTACTCTGGTGAAAAACGACCTTGAAATCCAAATATAACACCACTCAGAAGTATGTATGTGATAGTAGCCATTAAAGGAATATACAAATCAGGAGCATTGATATCATCACCCGGAGGAACAGGTCCAGCAGGATCATAATTTACACCCCATTTCTATTAACAAGTGAAAATATTTAAAAAACAGTATAAACGAATAAGTTGCATAGATGCAATAATGAAACCGATCAACAAAGAGTGAATAAAATGTTTAGTTGCATACACAATATGTTGCAACTCAGTAAATAAGTACATATAATCTATTTTGTTATGAGCCATTTTTTGAGGTCTGGTAACATTATGTTGAGTTATAGAGACAAATGAAAATGGATATCAGGTGTTACAATGATCGACTTTAATTAATTACATTCGCTGAATACAAATACTGATTCTCACTTCTTTGAGAAATTAAGCCACTTATACTACCTTCGTTTTCTGATATGATTCATGCTGAAAGCCCGACCATATTTCGTTTGCTTCTACGCTGAGTTTTTATACTTTGACAATGAAGCAGAAGCAACTGAATATAGTATAGGTTTTTTAACCATATTATTTATTAAATGTTTGACAATAATATAGGGTACTATATTATTAGCAAGCAACACCATAACTTCGGATAAATGCGGTCAAAAGTATTCAAAATTTGTCTCACAGATTAAGTCTAACGTTACAAATGTGACTATACGTCCCATTGTTAACGATTTTAAACCATAAGAATATCAAGACTTTGACGGCCAATATGATTTCATACATGCACAGCTAAGTGAAATGCTGGCTACGTGGTTAATATGTTCGACTTATAGTCACAAAGTCTCAGGTTTGAACCTCGTCTAACCTCCCTTTGGTCAACATACGTTTAGGCTGCCTCCGAACATTATCGTGTTCAGGACCAGACGGAATTAGTTTTCGAGCATCTGTTAATTCAATGGATGCCGGTGAAATCCACTGATTCTTCTTAACCTTTTGGTTTAAGTTGAGAGTAGATATTATTGCGGTGAGGTAATCACCAACATTGAAGAGCAACGAAACAGGTGGGTAGAACACTCCAAAGAACTCTTGAAGCGACCAGCATCACTGAACCCACCCAACATCGAAGCAGCATCCACGGACCTCCCAATCGATGTTGGCCCACCAACAATTGAAGAAATCAGCATGGCCATCAGGCAAATCAAGAGTGGCAAAGCAGCAGGACCAGACAACATTCCAGCAGAGGCACTAAAAGCAGACGTAGCGGTAACTGCAAGGATACTCCACATTCTCTTCAATAAGATTTGGGATGAGGAACAAGTACCAACAGACTGGAAAGAAGGACTTCTGATCAAAATACCGAAGAAAGGCGATCTCAGCAAGTCTGATAACTACAGGGGCATCACTCTTCTCTCAATACCGGGAAAAGTCTTCAACAGGGTATTGTTAAACAGGATGAAGGACTGCGTAGACGCCCAACTACGTGACCAACAGGCTGAATTCCGTAAGGATAGATCGTGTACAGACCAAATCGCAACTCTACGGATCATTGTGGAACAATCAATTGAATAGAGTTCATCACTCTACATCAACTTCATTGACTACCAAAAGGCATTTGACATCGTGGACAGAACAACACTATGGAAGCTTCTTCGACACAGTCGGTCGTCATTATCTGTTCGCTAGGCCGCAACGCTGTAAGATTCGCCTAAGTGACTTTCAGTTTGGCCTAGTTTACCTAACTGTCAAAGCGATGAAAAAGGCAGCGGCTGCAGGTAACACAAGACAGCTTCTCAGTCTAATAAAGAACTGGAACTAAAAAGTCAAGTGTGAGTGAGGCGACCTAGGGAAAAGATGACACTCTTATCTGCTCTCAGCCCAGACGTTTAGAATGATGGACGGAACACTTTAGAGAACAGTTTAGGTGGCCTTCAGCTACTCTACGACTACCCACCATTTCCAGGCAGCCTGAATGGCACTTTGAAGTAGGTCCCCCGAATCTAGCTGAAGTTCAAAAAGCTATACTTAATCTGAAACGAGGAAAGGCAGCTGGTTCAGATGGATTGGCTCCAAAGGTCTTTAAGCATAGTGGTCCAATTTTAGCGATTAGGCTGGCTAATATTCTAGCTAAAATCTGGGTGTTGGACGTAATCCTGTCTGATTGGTCGCAATCACTGATTGTCCCAATATATAAGGGTCAAAATCATCATGTGATAACCATAAAGGGGTAAGCATTCTTGTACCAATATTTGTGTTCAAATAAATAAATAAATGGGGTTAATTTGACTAATGTAGCATCTAAAACGCTAGACTCAATTATTATCGGGCGCCTAACAAAGACTAGTGAACTAAAAACACAAGAAAATCAGGATGGTCCTAGACCTGGTCGTGGCTGCATCAACCACATATTCACCATTCATCAGGTTTCAGAACACCGGAATGCTCATCGGCGTCCTACAATGATAGTTTTTCATGACTTAAAAGCAGTATTTGACTCTGTAGACCGAGAGGTTTTCTGGTAGTGTCTGTCACTGAAAGGTGCACCTCAGAAGTATATAAACCATGTGAAGGCTCTTTTCTCGAACACTATCAATCGAGTCAGAGCTTATGACGAACTTTTGTCTGATTTCGCAACCACAAGTGGTGTCCATCAAGGCTGTCCACTATCGCTATTTTTGTTCAACTTCATCATCCCTCAGGATCCCGGAGCCCATGTACACCATTCGTTTGGAATCAGGGTTTTTCAACTTTTCTAGGTAGAATCTCTGTGTCCACCAACCCGGTTAAAGAGCCAGACATTCGCTTTTCGTCCTCTCAATTTCGTAAAAAACACCCCTGCCACGAGAAGGAAATGAGTAGGACTTTCCTGGTAGTGGTTATATGCATGTGGCCATGTGAAAGCATTTCGAGAGGGAGAGTTGACTCTCCCCACTCACGGCCGTACCAGGGCACTTGAGGTCACCATTGAAGTGACTGCTTCCATAAATTTGGCGTTCACCTTATTGTGCTAATAAGGTGTGGCAATTTGGACCGATGCATGCATGTGCCTGGTACAACGTTTTAGCTGACTGATTGAGTTTTAAAATCAAACGCCACTATTACTACATCGGAGCGTCTAGCTTTTCGGAATGTTAGATAGCTTCTCATAAAATTCATCCTGAGCTTAACCCAAACTACAATTAGTGGGATCGTAGAGAGAGACAACAAAAAATCATCGGCGTGTGTCATTATCTGAAATGAGGTAGCTTAGTATTGATAGCAACGTTGTGCATGCATCTTCGCATGGGCTATCCTTAGATCCCGAGTTCCAAAATTATTTTAGCCCTAATTCATAGATGTAAATTTATAATAATATTCTCTAGACGTTAAGTCTTTACTGGTATTATTATCACTACGAACACGTCTGCTACTTAGGAATTCATCTCAATAATTTCATATCGCTGTGTTGTGGTTACTTGGACCGATATACATTTGTACCATGGTGCACGTTTCGTATGACTGACTAGCCAACTGACGATAAGCAAGAAGCAGAATGTTTTATGGGCTATTAATAGCATGTTGTTGGTCGTAATTACTGTAAGCAAAACGAAAAAGAAATAACTTTTACTTATCAATGTTTCGGATACGATCTGTATCACGAGTAAACGTTTGCACAACTTGAATTTCATCCTACATAAGTTGTACTGAATGATAGCGCGAAAACGTTTTCTTATGAAAAAGTAATGAGATAAGGTGCTTGAGAAACTCCTGAATACGGTCACTACTCATCTCTACGTCTACTGCAGACAAGTCATACTCCGAGAAATCAAAAATATTGAGACAAAAAGTCAACAAGAAATCAACTGATTTATACTAGAAAGTCACAAATAAAATGGATATAAAACGTTAGCTCATGACGAAGCTGTCCTCCAAAGAAAAATAATTTGATTTAATCTAGCCTACACCTTCCAAATGAATACTTGAATTTCATAGTAACTGCTTTGAAATGTCAGATATTTAACGTAAGACGAAAGTCAATTCTCGGAAGCAATATTACTAATCATAAATAGAGTGTAGCTACCATCAAAATACAAAATAAACTGGAACAGTGCTTACTGTATGAGCAAACGGGAACAAGATCAGTCCGACTTTTTTGGCAACGTATGAATTATTGACAGAAAAGTAGTATTTTATGCGAAATCGATTAACGTATTGGTCAACCTGATAACAGTTAGTCCTAAAAGAAAAGCTTACATTTTTGTGAACAAAGTTTGCACCTTCATCAAACATAGCTGAACCATAACGGACAGCTAAGTCGGGAATAAATTGGTTTTGAATAAAAGACATCCCAGTATTACCGTTCGTACGTGGTGCCGCAGGAACATACTCCTGACTACTAGGCTGGAAGTTGGCATAATAAGAAGCTAATACGACGTTAATATTATAATCAATAACAACATACTTTCTGGGTAGTTTGGAGGATACGCAGGATTGTGATAAGCGCACATGATTAACGCGTACACCGCGTCACACAGTTTAGGCGCACTTATTACTTCGGAACCTTATTTTTAATAGAACGCTATTTCCGAACAAAACATTATCAGTAAATGTTTATGAAATGAATAATAATCTGTATATTTTAAATCATTTGTTTGACTATTTGACTGTCATAACAACATTAGAGCGCGGATAACGATGTCTAGCGTTAGCAATGAAGAGCAAGTTTTTAATGAAAGTGCACTTGAGAATGGTGATTTTGTGCTGAAGCCGAATAGATATGCGTTTGTCAGTGCCAAAGGCTTGTTACAGAGATGTAATGAGGGCGGTTTGAATATGTCAGTCCATGAACTAATTTTTAACTTATCCTGTCAAAATATTTTTTTAGTTATGACCATTTAGTTCAAATGCTGTGTAGCATTTTAAAAAAGAGTGGTGAAAACCCACTTGCAGAGTTGGAGAACTTTAGTCGCAAAATTAAAAAGTATAAATGTTCAGCGGACTTGCACTTATTGAGACGTGCAAAAGAAGTTTCTGCTGATCTTGACTTAGCGTTACGCCGTCAGCCATACTTCAAAGTTAGTTTTAAATAGTGAAAATTTAAATGCTTTTTCAAATTCATCAGGTCTCTTCCAAAGAAATTCGACGATCAGAAGTTTTACCTGATTTGTCTAAACTTTTCTTTGCTTTGGGCCAAGCAGGCATAGGTTTGTCTTATCATCTCAATAATAAGTTTTTGGGTAAGGCTTTTCTCAGGAAGAAGTTACTAACCTTTCATTATCGATTCGGTCGTTTCTAAAGAAAATTTCACCAACTTTTGTAAGGTTTTGGGGAAAATATTTAGGAACTTCCCGGAATTATTACGTTTTAGAGGTAGAACTGGAACCTGATGATAAGAATATTTATTCACCTGACACTCTCCCTAACCTGAAAGACAATGAAAGTACGGCACGATCAGATGTTCAACTCAGCGAAAGATTGGCAATTCTCGATATGGATCCGCTTCCGAAATCCGAATGGAAACCACAGCCACCAGTACCACCAGAAGAACAAGGGAAAGGCACCAATCGAAAAACATACTTTGTTTGTAATGTTTTAGGTGACGATTGGGTCAGATTGCCCGATGTTACGCCAGAGCAGGTAAATTTTTCCAAACATGTTATATAAAAGTTAGTATATTTGTAATTACTTCATTCATTTTTACGATTACACTCAATTAGAGATTGTTCGAAAACAGAAATGATACCAGACATTTATATTTTTCGGATGAGGTGTAAGACAATCGTCTTTTCTGCACGTGCCAATCACATATGTCATTTTCTCCATGCGTTGAGTTGAAAATTTAAAAGTGAAGGAACAGGACCAGTCATCAATGATTACTCAAATTGCAACTTTTATTTAAACATGGTGTCACTTTCTTTTAGTGGTAGAACTCCATATGGCTTATGCAATGTTGTGTTTTGCACACATCTTACTCTCAAATGGTTTCAAAAGCTATTACTGTTTACAGGAATTTTTTCGCAATTATTAAAGTTCAATATTCCTCGAGGCACAACTTTAATCTTAGCCATGAAGCCGTGACTGTCACTTGTCATACTGCAAAGTTATCTCCCTTCAAATCTATTTTGTATGACAGGAAGTGGATGAACAAGTTCTTTTTAACAAATCCCTAGTCGGTCCCTCACATAAGTAGAACCCATTGCTGCCAATGAATAATTAGTGTCAAGAGCCATGTTACTGAGTAACTGAAGAAGTTTCGTTTATTCTAGGTTACAACCAATGTGATTAACAAGTGATCTATCAAGACTATAAGTTAATCAAAATTAATTGTAGTAACCATATTGCATGCATCTTTCAGCATTTCCTTTCAACAGTTAACAATTTTGTATCTTCAAATTTTATCCGTGCATGTTCATGATCAGTTAGGAATATGCCAGATCACTCCCTCAATAGATGTACTCTCGTGTTAGATTCATTCTTAGCCTGTTGCTAGATTGTGCTTGAGAAAATAATTGTGTCTGGTTTTGGAACATTACTTCTTCAATGGTTGCCGGTACATCGGTATTAGTAATATGAATAAATACACGGGCTTGTTTGACAAATGCTTAATTTTGGAGTCAGATTAACTATCGAACCGTCTTACCAACTGCCGATTTACGAAATACATGCAAAAGAATTATCGATGATAATAGCTTAAACGGCAAATTCAGACGTTGCTTACTTTACTGTTTGGCAAAACTAACAAATCATTGTACAATAGTCATTTCGTTCTTTTAAAAATACTTGCCATTTTGAAATATTTGTCCCAACCGTCTATCAAATTTCATCTCTATAACGGAATTTTCTTTTCACTTCCTTCTGTACTTTTGATGGTTAAACTTTGTACACTGAGTAAAAAAATAAATTCTCGCGGGTTAGACGGTTTCTGAAGACAACAATTTTCACTGATTATTGACGAAAGCTCACAAATTGCTTCGACTCAACGACATAAAAATTGACCATTCTTTTAATATCACTAACTGCTTGTGAATGTCCAAATATCCAGTCCACTCAGCATTTTAATGGACAATAATACATACAGTGCAGATAAACTATAGGTGTGTTGTATATTTTGTATGTTGGAGTTAAATCACTTTACATGTGAATGCAACTAGAAAACTAACAAATCATGTGATCGAAACTATCTTTTTATTAATAAGGAGTATCAGTTGTGAAGAAAAGTTTGTTTTTTCTACTTTTACAAAACTCGATAGACAAAATATTTCCTAAAAGTAGCAAATTTTAACTAGCGTTTGGGTGCTACGAATTTTTACCAAACTGTATTGTATAACAACTACAAGTGTGGTGTTATAAACCCTTAGATTGTCACCAGCCGGATGATAAAATACCTTTGTACGGGTGATTTGGAAGCGGAAATTAATACATTTCCAACTTTCCCTGGAGTCGAAAAAAATTTTCTTCGGGCACAAATAGCACGGATATCTGGATCAACTACAATTTCTCCAATAAATTATTATCAATTTAACGAAGATGAAGAAGAAGAACAAATAGAAGAAGATGCTTTGAGGGAAAATTTTATAGAAAATCCTGAATATGAGCCAATGACTATTTATGATTTGACTGACCCTACTTTAACTAATTGGGTTCATCATACAGCTTACATATTACCACAAGGTCGAACGGTTTGGTAAGTTTCCATTTTTTCACCGTATAAGTTTGCAAATGAATCTACCGGTTGCTGACCAAATTTAAATTCTAGAAAAATAAATTACCTTTGTGACTGCAGACGAATATTGAATTTATTGTTGACAACTACTTTTATTTTTGAGTTTAGTTTAACAATGATTCGTTACTAAACCACTCTGATATTGCTCAAAATGGAAAGACATGTAAAACAACACGTAATTTATTTTCAGAATAAAACAAAAACAATATACAAAATATGTGATAAGATATGTTTATATATATATGAGTAATTTTGCCAACAAGTTGTAACCAGCAAAATTGGAGTGTGGTTATCAAACTGAACTGCTTCTTGATGTACAAACTATGCTTGAGAACAGACATGTTGACAACATTTGTGGCCGTTCGAGTCAAGCCATAAAGTACTTTGTGTGCTGGGGGAGCATACAGACTTGCGTGATTAAAGATAGTAGAAAAAGAGAACTAAAATAAAGGTGAGTTGACGACCCAGTAAGAGCACACAATGCACTTACATTTGATAGCGAAAGTAATCAACAATAATATGAGCTTTGGCTTAAGACAATCTTTGAACCGAAACTGGAAGCAAATCGTTCAAAAAGCTACACATTTTTCTTTTTCGAATATATTTGTATGTTATTAAAAGTGAAAAATGTTTTAATGGAAGTGCTACTAGTTACTCTACACTTTGCATGTAGAACAATACAATAATTTATTCTGAAATTAATTACTAAATACATGCTGATTCCTAAGCATTATCTGGATTATACGGTAAAGGGAATAGAGATAATAATCAGTGACTTCAAATTATATGCATCGGAAGTAAATTGAATCAACCAAGTAAAATATAGGCGCACGTCAATCACAAGAAGAAATAATGTTGAATGTACTGAATAATACAGAGATTTGCAGATGTGTCCAAACGTACACTAGTAACGCAAAATAGACTAGGACTTCAAGACTGTAAAATACCGTGAACTCAAGTGAGCACATTTCATTGGCATCATAAATAAAGCTTGTACCTGTGTATTATTGACTCATATTGCCTTGATTGGTTTAAAATTTTCGTATAAATATTCATGTATATTAGAGTAAAGCCTGATGACGATCTAATTGAAAACAATTGTTCGCTTATATGTGTTGTTCTAATTTTCACAATGGGAATCTTTAATATTAAATATTTGTCAGTCAAAACAAATACTTCAACACTTCCACATCTTTGAGTAGGAATGAATTCTTTCCATTTTTTAGTTCACTCCAATCAGTGAATGTACTTTTCTTGACTTTACTAAATCATCTAAGTGATAAGACATGTAAAATATATTTAAGTGGTTTTTACTTATTTACCCACACCTGTTAGGTTCCGTGGAGCACTGACTGCCGAACAAAATTCCATAACTAACTTTGTCCTGGGCTCTGCTTCCCAATTTTCGTCAATCGCTATTCATTCCCTTCATGTTTACCTCAGATTCTCGGCGCAATGTGTTCTTTGATCTGCCTCTTTTCCTTTTACCTTGAAAATAACGAGTTATCACTTGCCTCGTGATCCAGTTTGATGAGTTCCTCGGTGTATGTCCTATCCACCTCCAACGTCTATTCTTAACTTACTCTTCAACTAAAGGTCGATTTGTTCTTTCTCACAGTAGATTGTTGCTAATGATGTTCGACCGACGAATATGGAGTATCTTGGAAACACAATTGTTCATAGATGGCTGTACTCTTTTGATGGTGGTTGTAGTAATTCTCCAAGTTTGAGACATCATCATGAAGTTCATATAGACTTATATATATCATAACAAAGTTTCTGGAAAAATATTCCAACCAATCTTTCAGAATACCGTAGGTTACTG